GTTTCCATTGAATTTCACATAGCCTTGCTTTCCCAAAAGTTGTTCTCATCCAGGGTGGACTGTAATTTCGACCTCGCATTTATAATGGCAAGCTACTTCCTATATCGTGACTTGGCTCTAAAAGCAGGGTCAGAGGGCTTTCTGTGATAAGATATTGCTCGTGTTGGGAAATAAACTTTGATGAAGATGGATAGTGCAAGTATGAACGAGTTTAATTAACAAATAAAACATATAAATTGAAGATGTGAAGACCAAGATGTTGTGGCCTCGGGTATGGTCACAGTCTCCTTTTGACATATAAACCCTGGCAGGAATTTTGATAAATATAATAGGCTATTCTCATTATTTGACTTTATTTACCCCATTACACAGTTTGATTTTAAGATTATAAACTTTAAAGCGCTTTTATTTTATCCTACCCAGGAATATTTTCATAATACAATCGTCCAGCTGCTGTTCAACTTTCCTTACGATCACGTTAGCTCAAGTGGCATGCCCTTTTGGTCTGGCACTAAAAGATGCCCTCATCCTTTGAAATTTGATCCGGCAAATGTAAGTATCTTACATTCCAAATAGACTCACATTGATATTATAGCCATGTAAATTTACACTTTTTTAGAGTATATTTTTATATTGGTGGGTAAATACACACATCTTCACAATTTGAGGCTGAAGGAAAACCGCAGAAATGCAAAATCACAGCAGCAATATTTGCTCTATTCTCTTTCCTTCATTTTGCAAATCTATCCATTCATACTAACCTAGTTTTATGTGTGTACTTCCTAGTCTTAATTTTGATTGCTGATTAAGTCTTAATTTTCTTTTTTTTACTTTCCTCTGAGTTTTTAGTTTTTATTAAATGTACAGATTGCTATAGGATTTTGCTTAATTGGTTTGCCATTTGAGTGAAAGAGCAAGAACCGAGATCAAACTAACGCGATGTAACAAATGCTTACTTCTCGAGGTCTCGAACTCACATGTGATATTTCAGTGGGTTTGTGCGTCTTTGTTTTGGACACTGTCCTGGAAACTTCTACAGATTGGGACATCATACTGTTCTATTTCGACAAAGTCATTATATTAATTTTATTATTTGCTCAGGGTCCATACGATTAAGTTGCTTCAATCTGACCAATTTCATACATTTAAGAGATACTTTTTTAATATAACTGTTATCATAAATATGACATTGTTCTTGTAAGATACTCCTCATCAAAAAATTTTACATTTGAGACAATAATTTGAATGATCTGCCTTAAGGTTTCGTTCTATCTCAAGCTATTTCTTATACTTCGACTTGACTTGGTTCCTTTGTCGTATGCCCTAAGGGATGTGCTATTTTCACCTTTGCTATTTTCCTGGCCTATAGCCGACTCACTTGGACTTTGTGATGTCTGCAGCTAATCTGCGTGCATTCATGTATGGTCTGTCGGTGTGCCGGGATTCTTCCTTGGTTCCTCAGTTGGCTCAATCAGTGAAGATACAAGATTTCAAGCCACGAAGTGGAGTTCGCATCGCTGAGACAGAGGCTGCTGCTGAGGCTATGCTAAGACAGGCCTCTAGCGGAGGTACAAATGCAGACATTGCCAAGCTAGATGTCCTCCGAAAGCTGCTTCCTTCAACAGGTGGGTTACATTTGGCACAATTTAAAGTAAAATGCATTCCGCCCTAAACTTTCCTTTCCTATTATTTATCTTAATTTTTTTGCATATATTGATATTTTTGTCTCATTTTAATACCTTTTTCTTATTTTTATTCCAAGGTAATTTTTATGAAATCTATTTGAATTTCAATGCTTTGTAGCAATCATCTAGTGATTAGATTTTCTTATCTAAATTTTTTAGGAGATCAAGTTTCATGATTTATTATCCTCATGTCTTTAGACATTCGCTAGTTTAGCCCCATTTATCTAGATTATCAAGCGTCTGTTTTGTATGACCTTTTCCGGTCTTCATAGTTCCTCCCCTAATTCCTATTCCCTCTGCTGTCAGCCTTTCACGTTCACATTCTCCATCCTTTCTCATTTTTTTATTATTTACTGCTCATGCATATTTTATATGGATTTCCTTGTATTCTCTTATCATATTCCTCGTTATCTTTGTATCCCTGTTGGTTCTTGATTTCCTAAGAATTAGGAAATGCTCAACCTCTGATTTCTAGCTTTCATTGTAAGCTATATTGGTCAGATTAATACTGATGAATTTTTTTAATTGTTGACTCCGCCCGCCCGCCATAAGTCAAAACTTTTTTTGTATGCATAAAAACCGTTTCGAAGAATCCCTTAATAGATTGATGTTGAATTACCTTTTATTTCGAATGGAAGGGTTTCACAAGGTGGCCTCCGGAAGCTGTAAGAGGATTGCTTTGGAACTGTGACTAGATTTGTGCGAATATGCCCTCCGCAACCCCGTTAAATCCTCGTTAGTTTTTTCCCGTCGTGTGACGGATGTCGTCAAAGCGGGACACGATGCTTAACGATAATTCACCAAAGCACGAATCAACCATTTAGGGAAAGCATAAGATATCAAACCAAATTATGCGATGTCTCATTAAGTGGACAAGGTTAATCCTTAACAAGTAGGTAGGTTTGCAGCTCGCCTTTTTCTTGTCTTGGTGAATTATCTTTAAGCATGGTGTCCGGCTCTGACGGTGTCCGTCACACGACGGGCGAAAGATCATAAAGGATTCATCGATATCGCAGAGTGGTGCGCCGAGGACCTATTCGCATAAATATATAACTAAGCTCCCAGGCAATCCCAATACAGCTTCCGGTGGGGCCAACTTAGATATCCCTTCCACTTGCATTCATGTCTTTATCCTAGTTGGTTTCTGCGACGGTTATATCATAGTTTATGGTAGTTTTTGTTCGCTTTAGTCTACTAACCACATCGCAAGTCCAAAATATTAGCTTCAGCGCACCATATGATTATGAAATTGTAGAGTAAGGCAAACAACGGCATACATAATAAAGGTACCACAAAATCTGGCTCTTGAGTATTAAATAAGTGTTTTAAAAAGGCCTATAGGAATCCCATTGTCTGTATTGTCCGCGCAAGCCTTTTCCTTAAAAATTTCTGAACGAATCATGTCATGTGATTTTCCATCTAAAATTCGTCAAA